GAGTGTGTGAGATACGCAGTTCCTTTTATTAATCTATGTGCGAAATTTGCAGGCGTTGGCGGGTGCTCCGTCTGTTCACCGTTATCCGACGAATAAAAGCATGGCCGGTCAAGCGTGCCATACAGTCTTGGATAACTACCTCAGTTCGTGTGTCTGCGCGTGGGTGTACTCTGTGTGTGTGTATGTGTGTGTGTATGTGTGTGTGTGTGTGTGTGTGTGTGTGTGTGTGTGTGCGTGTTTGTGTGTGTGTTTCTGTGTGTGTGTGGATGTAGATGTGGATGTGTATGCGTATGTGTATGCGTATGCGTATGCGGCTCACGCGCGCGTCTTTTGTTGTGTACGTTTGTGTGTGTGTGCGTGTGCATGTACTCGTGTGTGTGTGCGTGTGTGTGTGTCTGCATCTGAATGCGCTTCATCGTGAACTCCCTCTTCCCTCACCCGCCATTGTGCCTCGAAGTTCTCGCTGTTCCAAGGTTCACTTTTACTTAACAGATGTGGGGATAGGGTTGGAAGAGAGAGAGAGAGAGAGGGGGGGGAGGGTTAAGGAAAGGTATAATGTTTGATGATTTTTTTCTTTAGTTCACCTTTCTTTTTTGTTTGGACACGTGGTTGGAAGCTCTTACGGCCTCATCTGCGAGTGTAGGGCAGGCTGTGTTCCTAACCTTTCACGTCTCCCTTTAGCTGTTTGCGCTTCCTCACGTTGGGTAAACAGTCGTAGGTTAGGGAGAGAGAGAGAGAGAGAGAGAGAGAGAGAGAGAGAGAGAGAGAGAGAGAGAGAGAGGCAGACAGACAGATAGATAGAGAAAGAAGAGAGAGAGAGGCAGACAGACAGACAGACAGACAGAGAAAGAGAGAGAGAGAGGCAGGCAGACAGACAGACAGACAGAGAAAGAGAGAGACAGAGAGAGAGAGGCTGGATACCTTATTTTGTGAATATTTTTTTTTTACCTTTTGGATTGAAAAAATATTGAGTCAGAGATGATATCAGATAAAGAGGATAGTAATGATAGTGACCCTTGTCATAAGATGCCATTTCTTTCAGTATTCTTTTCACATTAAATTACTGGCTTAAACCGGGAAGGACCGCGGTATCATCTCACATTAAGTTTAGTACCTGCATCTGTATATGTATAATGTGTGCCCAAGTGTGTGAACAGATTCGGGACCGTGTTGGCCCAAAGCAAACAGACTAACGGCAGGCTGCACACGACTGCGATATTTTTTTTCTTTGCTTTATCTTCTTGCCTTAGCGTAATGGCTTTTGGGGCACGATTTCTACTTTGATTCCTGTTTTTGTGGGTTCAGGGGCTGATTGGGAATATTGTGTCTTCGGTATTCTGTCCTCGGTGTTTTGGGAAATGTCGGTATATGTCCAAGACACAGAGGAGGTGAAGATAATGTGTGTTAGTGTTTCCGGTTGCGCGCGAGAGACTGTGTGGATGTATGTGTCTAAGTGCTTGCTTTGCCCTTGTGTGTGTGTTTTCGTGTGTGTATGTGTGTGTGTGTGTATGTGTGTGTGTGTATATGTGTGTGTGTGTATGTGTGTGTGTGTGTGTGTGTGTGTGTGTGTGTGTGTGTGTGTGTGTGTGTGTGTGTGTGTGTGTGTGCGTGGGAGCGTGGGTGGTAACCATCAGTGCTGAATAATTATTTTTAATCCCGACGGATCGTGCAAGTCACTGAGATTTTTCATCTGTTTCATAAAGATAACTAGGAAGCGTGCACAGGTACTATTTAAAAAAAAGGGCGCTTTGTTCAGACTTCAAAGATTTTTTACGGCGCATCAAACTCTTAAACATCGGCGACAGTGCGTGAAGCGGCCAGACTTTCACCGAAACATAATCAACAGCGGGTGCAACAGAAAGAGGCCGCCGCAGAGGAATAACAGATTTCACATTGGAAGGAAATAGACGCGAGTGAGGTGCAACCAGTGTCTGCGGTTTTTTTATCTGGGCCCGTGCATGTATGTATGAATTTCTGTGTGTGTGTGTGTGTGTGCGCGCATCCTGTTCACTCCTCACTCAATTTTTCTCTCTGTCAAATATGTGGACAGTGTGACGACCTACACTTGTTTGCCAATGAAGTGTCTTGCCTGAGGATAAACTACGTAGATCGCGGGTGTTTTACCAGCTGGTGTCATCGCTCATGGGCCCGGGGGCTCCTAGGACGGCAGGGGTGGTAAGGAGAGGGAGGGAAGGAGGGAGGGAGGGAGGGAGGGAGGGAGGGAGGAAAGGGAGTGAGGGAGTTAGGAATGAATGAATGAAGGAAAGAAAGAAAGGGGGGGGGGTCATGGGGAGAGGGGTTTAGAGTGGGAGAGAGGGAAGGGAAAGGAAGGAAGGTTGAGAAAAACGGGGAAAGTGTGAAATATGGAGAGGGAAATCGGAATAGCGATAATTTCACGCTGTAAATCGAGAGAGAAAGAGAGATAAAAAATAGAAATGAGAGAAAGGGAGAATTAGTACCCAAACCTTGCGCAGCACTGTAAATCGTCGAACTATAGCATTTTCCCCAAATATCCGAAACGTAACAGTGATTGTAACGCTAGTTTATCATTACCACGTCATTACCTCTCGCTGCGTTGAAGTGGGATTAGATTTGCGAGGAATTATTGGTAGCTGTCGAGAGAGAGAGAGAGAGAGAGAGAGAGAGAGAGAGAGAGAGAGAGAGAGAGAGAGAGAGAGAGAGAGAGAGAGAGAGAGAGAGAGAGAGAGAGAGAGAAAGGGGGGGGGAGAGAGGGGGGGTGAAAGAGAGAGAAAGTGTGAGTCAGACAATAGCAACAGAATCTGGAAACATTATTGTGGTAGCTGGGTTTAATGACCACCTTTGGCCTCAGAAAACCCAATTAGATAATCACATAACCTTACAACGGGAGGGGAGTGGGGGGGGGGGGGTGAGCGAAGGAGAGAAAGAAAAGACGAGGAAGAGAAGAGGAGGAAGCGAGATCACGAGGGAGTTGAGACGCAGAATGATGTGTTCTTCGCCTCAAACACTTCCGCTGTCATTACACTGTGCTTGTAACCCTTTCACAGCGTTATTTTCATCAGAAATCAAGTGTAAAAGCACTCAATACATACTTGTATTTTTCAGGCATTTTATTCTTTATAAATCACGTAACGGGATTTAGAAATTGGGTGCATTGTTGTCTCTGGTGTCTGGCGTCCGTTGAATTATGTAAAAAAAATTGGTTTCCTTTTCTATTATTGTGTTCTGCATGTGTTATATATATATATTTTTTTCATATACTTTCACTGTTTTATAATTAAGTTTACTACTTTATAACCTGGGTATGATTTATTCCGAATAAATTACTGGAAACCTTCGCGCGGAGGAGTGAAAAAAAAATGCACGAAAGGTTTTGGCGGGAAAATCTCTCCTGACGGTCAGCGCGTAATTAGCTGTTAATTAATCTCCGCAGTTATGTCGAGGAAGCAGAGGGACGCGAGAACGTGTGACAAGCGACCGTGAAAACTCTTGAGAGATTCTGAAGATTCTAAGGAATTTAATGTAGATGATCCTGATGAAATAAAAAATAGGTTATCGATAATTGTTCTCGCGGGATGGAAGGAACACTAAATTTATTATATTAAATTTGTATTTCCAAAATGAAGTAGTTAGAGATTGCATATCACGTGATCCAGATTTTGCTGATAATGTAATACAGTCTGTTATATTAGAATTATTCAATATATTCTAACCTATTATAGGTCAATACTTGAACACATGCTGTTGAAAATATTCACTTTCGTCCAGATATTCTGATACACTATTACACACAGCCTTTTAAATACTGAAACACACACTGATAACACAATCTCTTAACAAATTTACCACGGTTTTAATTTACAAATAGACGTACTATGTTCCCCAGTGCTAGTATTCCGAAGTATAAAATCAACCCGAACATTCCTCGATTTCTATGAAAACGAAGACTTGATTTACTAATTCATGTGGATATTTGCACGTTTTAGATACAGTTGAATATGCGTTGATTTAATGGTTTGAGTAACTATTCAGTGGTTCATTTGCACTTTCTCTCTCTCTCTCTCTCTCTATCTCTGTCTGTCTGTCTCTCTCTCTCTCTCTCTCTCTCTCTCTCTCTCTCTCTCTCTCTCTCTCTCTCTCTCTTTCTCATTATTTTTTAACTTTTTTTGTAGTATTTGCGAATTATTTCCTTTTGTGAACCGGAACTTTTTTTTATATACTTATATGTAATTCGGTAACATTGTGCAATTTGTTAAGATTTGATAACTTTTTCTTGGATTTATGCGTGAGATCATCCTACAGTAGAAGAGACCCTGCTACTGCACGGTCACACGCACACGCACGCACGCAAGCATAGTAGTGGTAGTAGCGTTGCATTACCCAAGAGTTACGGTGATGGCAGCGTCATTGCGGCTTGCAACGTTTCTGCCATCCCCACCTCACCCCACCCCCGCGCCTCCCTTTGTGCTCGTTCCCTACGTGCTCTGCAATTGCGGTTTTATTTTCCGCTGATCGTGTTGCCTGGTGCTGGGGCATTGGTGGGGTGGGGGAGGGGGGAGGCAAGCAGGAAGAGAGGGGGGGGGTGGAGGCGATGTCAAGTAGAATTGGACGGGGTTTATTGGTATTTGGTTTGGTGTCGCTGTTGTGTTTGTAGGGTTTCGGTGCCAGAGATGTTTCGAGTCTGGTTGGTTAGTATATTTTATTGACTGGTTTCGTATGCTTTGACCTAATGTTGGGGGTCGAGTATTGCTTTTAGGGAAGAAAAAGAGCTTTTAACGTGGTGTCTCTACGATATCCAGGAAGTTCCGGGTTCTTGGGAAGGGAGAAAAAAATATAAATAGTATAAATATATGGTTCTTGGGAGGGGGAAAAATATATATATATATATAGTTCTTGGTGGGGGTGGAAAAAACGTGACAGCACCAAGAGACATTAACCGCACTGACGGCCTTTCCCGCCATTTCCCCGCCCCAGCGCCCTCACTTCCCTAACCTGACGTCTTCTTCTCTCTCTCCCCTTAGATCTGCCGGAGCTCCTCCCGGCGGCCACAGACTACCTCGAGTCGCCCGTGTCGGATGGGACGATCGAGGAGAACTTCGAGGCCGAGCTGGGCAGCGCGCTCGGGGAGGAGGACGAGCAGGCCCTCCACCACACCTTCACGGACGACAACGACTTCACGGACATCGCCAGACACGGGATCGTCGACATCATCGGCGACGACACATACGGCCGGAAGGTGATCGTCGTATCAGCCTGCAAGCTGCCCAGCAACAAATACTTCAACCATGAGAAATTCCTCAAGTGAGTCGGACGTTTTTGGTTGATATCTACCTACCCGTCTGTTTGTCTGTCTGTGTGTCTGTTTATCTTTCACACACACACACACACACACACACACACACACACACACACACACACACACACACACACACACACACACACACACACACACACACACTCAAAGTATATGTATTGTGAAGTGAAGTTAATGGTCACTCCAGCCTCAAGATATCACTTCTTTCAGGTAAAAAATGAAAACATTACCTCTTATTAAAGGTACAGCCACAGAGAAAAATAATTTCGTTTGTGAATCATATCCACAGCCTAATAAAAAAAAACACTTTATGTAGAAAATATCTTACTTGATTTATAAAGACACGTCTTTATTCCTGGTTTTAAATTGACAAAAAAAGGGAGTGTTTACTAAATATGACATGTTACCGTTTCCAGCCTTTAGTAAAATGTCAACGAAGTAAGCCTCAAGTTCCCTTTAAATTTAATGAACATACAAAGGAAACACTTAACGGCGCAGCCCTCCTGTAAAAAGGAGATAGGAAAAGGTTACGTCGCTTAAGGAAAGGCTATGTTAGCGAACTCGGGGTCAGACTATTTTGCTCTTGATATCTGATGCTACCAACCTATACTTTTGAGGAGACGAGATGTTTTAATTGACCTACAACTAGTTTGATATTTAGCACAAATACGCATGCGCGCGCAAGGATGAGTGTGACGTCTGAGTGTAAGCGTGAATGTGAGTGTGGGTGCTTGAGTGAGTGAGTGAATGAGCAAATTAATTAATTAGTGAATAAGAGTATGGTTGTTTGTTTGTCTGTCTGTTTGTTATTTCTATGCATTTATTTAAGGACATGACGCGCACACACACATCCTCATGCGCGTGCGCACATGCACACACTCACGCGCACACACGTGCACACACGCACACACACGTGCACACATGCGCACACATGCGTACATGGGTGCACACACACACACGTGCACACACACACACGTGCACACACACACACACACGTGCACACACACACACACACGTGCACACACACACACACACACGTGCACACACACACACGTGCACACACACACACACATGCACACACACACACACGTGCACACACACACACACACACGTGCACACACACACACACGTGCACACACACACACACACACACGTGCACACACACACACACGTGCACACACACACACACGTGCACACACACACACACGTGTACACACACACACACACGTGCACACACACACACACACAGACAAGACACATACCACACGTACCACACACACACACACGCACACACACACACGCACACACACACACGCACACACACACACACACACACACACACACACACACACACACACACACACACACACACACACACACACACACACACACACCACACACACACCACACACGCACACACTCACACTCACACTCACACACACTCTCTCACACAAACTCACACTCACACTCACACATGCTCGTACACCCCCTACCCACACACGCACAGAGAAAAAGAGAGTGAAGCATCCAATGCACAGAAATGCTCACTTGTACTTCAACCGAGGACTTTTGCCGTCTGCAGGTACCTGATGTTCACCCTAGACCAGTACGTGGAGCAGGACTACTCCCTGGTCTACTTCCACTACGGCCTCAACAGCAAGAACAAGCCCCCCGTGTCGTGGATGTGGTCAGCGTACAAGGCCCTCGACCGAAAGTACAAGAAGAACCTGAAGGCCCTCTATCTCGTCCATCCCACCAACTTCATCCGCGTTGTTTACAATATCTTCAAGCCTGCCATTAGGTGAGGATATCTTCGTCCCTGTTTTGTATGTGTTTTTTTTGGTGAAAGCTTCATGTTAGGGATTTATTGTAATTGTTAGGTATTGTGTAGGGTTTCTTATGTAAAGGCAGTTTCGTGTAGACAATTTTCACCGTTTTTATTTATTTTGGGATTTGACTTGCAGTGCCAAATTTGGACGAAAGGTGATGTATGTCAATTATCTACATGAACTTCAGCAGCATCTTCACCTGAGCCAGCTACCTATTCCACAGTGTGTCCAACAGTAAGTAATTTGGGGTAGTTTGAACATTGTTTGAACATGTATGTGTATATGTGTATGATGATATAAAAAAAGAAGAGAAATCAAGATTATGATTGAATTTTATATACCATTTTAACATTTAATGTATAATTCCAGGCATGACCAACAACTTGTTGCCAAGTTGAAAAGTCTGCCCAAAACCACAGGGTCAGGGACAAACAAGCCATTGCCTACACAGCAGTTTGGGGTGTCTCTGCAGTACATCAAAGATGCCAACAATCAGGACCCCATTCCACCTGTGCTAAAGAACTGCATAACATTCCTTGACCACCCTGATGGTAAGAGTCACTCCATGTGTACTGATCCTGATGTAGCTAGTATTTTTATTTTTTTTTAATATTAATATCCTTATGTGTTTTATATTTAAGTAACAGCCATGCTGCTGGTATGTGTTACCAGTGTGATCCATTATCTCCCAGCCAGAATGAGTTGGGACCAGTTGTCATAGCCAGCTAAATCTTTGTTCATTAAAGAAAAATAATAAACTACTTGATATGATCTGAAAACATTGTACATACTAATAAAATGTGATTTAGAATACTAGAGAGTATTTTAGCTACAGATTCTGATAAAAAATTCCATCACTTCACATATTGGCAATGCCTTAGTGTGTATATATGTGTATTTACTGTTGGTAGTCCATGGGTGAAAAAGAAAGAGAATAAAGTTTATGGATAGACCATTCTAGTGTTAGAATAAGATTCAAATGTAAAAAAAAGCAACTTTCAAAATGTATTTATTCTAATATTAAATATCAGATATTTTTTTTACCCATTCATCCAGTTATTGTGTCTTACATGTGTCTACTAGGATTGATACATGAACAGATTTTGTGCAATTTTGCTCTGTAACTGATAAAAACACAAATCTTCTGTCACAGCACTGGAGACGGAAGGACTGTTCCGTCGTTCAGGTGCAGCAGCTGTGGTGAAAAGTGTCCAGGAACGCTTCAACAAGGGTGAAGAGGTGAACTTTGTACTGGAGACTGATGTACACATTGCAGCTGTTATCATTAAGACTTTCCTGAGGGAACTTGAGGAACCACTCATGACCTTTGAGCTCTACGATGAGATTATCCAGTTCCAAGGTGTGTTCATGTAACTGGGATGCTGATGTTGGTTTTGCATTAAGGTGTCTGGCGTTTATCTTTGCTATTCGGTATCTTGCGATTAGATCTTTACCAAAAAAAAATTCTTCAATCTAAATTGATTCAAACTTTTATTAGATTCAAGTTGTACTGAGATATTTAAACAATCCAGTTATAAGATAAGATAGCCTTTTTTCATATAAGCAAAGTGAGCTTTTTCTAAACATTTTTCTAAACATTTTTAGTTTGATAGAAGCATATTCTGTTTCAGTATACAAATATAACCTTGCTGTGGTCTGTTCTGTGGGGTCTGATATAAGTCTAGTCTAAAAATCCTTCCAAGAGTTATGACTGAAATCAATTTTTTTTTTGCACCTAAATCTGTGGACTAGAGTATAGGTCTGGCTGAATCTTATTCCAACTTTGCTCTTTACTCCTAGCAAAGAAAACAGTCTAAACTAAACAAACTTCTTTATCCCCAAGCTTAGTCTAAATCCTTACTTAAAGTTAGTTCAACATAGAATGTCTTGCTAATGTACTCTTAATTAATGAGATTCGGTTATCAAAATTGTAAGTAGATTATTAGACCAAACTGCCATGTTTGGTCACAATCTTTTAGGTATTGTACCTTAGTAAAAATACATGTACATAAGCATTGCAGGAAAAGTAATCAGATACAGTATTGCCTGCCTAAGATCCCCATACGGCAACTTTGTTTAACCATGCTTGATATTACTATATCTGAACTTGTGTCTTGTCAAAAAAAACAAAATGTATTGACATAACAGTTTACTTAATTCCAAACCCAAGTCCAACATATCTTTAGGAGATTGTTTTTCCTCATCTTGATTTTCATTATTTTTATTGTTTTATTTAGGATTTTCCTGGACATGGAGAAGTTAATTGATCACATATATTTTTATTTCATTACTCTGTCATGTTTCTGTTTTTTTCTAATTCTTCATTTTCTTTTTAGGTTTGAGTAAGAGTGAGCGCCTCATCAGCATCAAACAGATTCTTCTGGAAAAGTTACCGGAGGACAACTACCTCGTTCTCAAGTTCCTTGTTAACTTCTTGTCGAAGGTAACGTAATTAAGTTCATATTAATCTCCTTCGGATTTTTATTTTTAAACTAGTACAGTGTCAGTTCATGTTTTTTTGTTTTTTTTTCATATTGCTACTACTATAGTAAAACTTCTTCACCGTAAAATATACAAACAATAGAAGATAAGAAAATATACATGTAAAAAATAAATAAATAGATAAATAAAAGAAAGCAGCATAATAATTTCTGTTAGAAAAATATAAACTTTTGTCAGTTTCACGTAAGAGGCATTCCTACATTTTGAAAAGAGGTTTATTTGAAAACAAGTAAAGTTTGCTCACTGTACAAAAATGAATATCACTTTTCTTGTCTGCCCTACCTCCTTTTTGGCACTTATGTTTATGTACCATTATTGCCTTCAAGGTAGCTGTAAAGTTGTAGATGTTATTTGATTCCACTATGGCTTCCATGAGCTGATTGAACATCGGCTGATATATAGAGGAACGTAGAATTATTTACACGTCCTTATTTTTCTTAAAATATTGCTTATAGTGTTGGAAATGAGAATCATGTAAAAACACTGATTGTTATTAGTACCTTACATGTAATATTGCTTAACAGTGCAACAGTTCTGTAAGTACTGACTGCGTCGGTTTGCTGCCTAGTACACTATGTTAAGTTATTATCTGTCTGACCTTTGTCTTCATTAGATATTTAGTCTATGCTTAATTTTGATTTGCCAGAAGGTGATATTAGGACATTAAAATAAGGTAGTAGATGTATTTAGATGAAATGAAGTGGTAGTATTGTTTATGCACAAAAAGTAATTGACAGTTTTACAGAATTTAATTAATGCAAAACACATTCTGTTTCTTAAAGGTAATCTCTGTCATACAGGTATTTCATCTTTTGGACTGTAACTGACAGAGCAAGGTTTGCTATTTAAGCTTCCCTCATAAGAAAGCATCATCGGTACTTTTCTTCAGATATTTATTTTTAGTTTAGGAAGTTTAGATTTTTAAAATTCAGTTTGCTTGAAGTATTTACATCATCTTAGCAAGGTAAAATTTTATGCAGGTTTACCCTATACTAGATTTGGGTTAGAATGAAGAGTTTAGGGAGGAAGAAAAAGAACATATTGAACAAGATTAAACATATGTATTCTAACTTTTCAGACTAATTTTGATTAAAATGTAGCCAATAGAATACTATGTAGTAAACCTGGTTGATCATGATGTGAAAATAGCAAGATGTTTAACTTTATAGCATGCTAAAATTTACTTTTAAGATAATACTGTCATGGTAATGAAAGTTAATTTTATCATAGTATCATATATCCTAAATGAACTCTTTCTTGCCAGGTGATGGATCGCAGTGACTTGAACAAGATGACAGCAAGCAACTTGGCTGTTGTGTTTGGGCCGAATCTGGTGTGGCCACGGGGAGGCCAAATGTCCCTGAATGCCATTGCTCCCATTAACCTCTTCGTGGAGAACATGCTCTCCTATCACCACCAGATATTTGTGCTCTGAAAGGACACTGCCAATACGTCAAGCCCTTGAAACTCACATACGACATTGATTCTGATCAACTAACGTGTCTGGTCAAGACATCTTTTCGAGCCATATCCTTTCATCTACCAATATCAATCATGATCAGGTTCACTCCTTCATACCACTGAAGCATCAACTCTAGAATTAGTCGTTTTCATTGTAGCTCCACAGAAGGATCGTACTGACTGAGCAGTGAAATAAGTTGTTATGAGCTGAACACAGTTGATTTGGAAAACTGTTCACAGTATTGCATATTTTGCAAAATTGTGATTTATATGATAGATGATATTATCATACATGTCTGTTACTGTTTCATCAAGTAAGGTTATGTGATAATTGTAGAATATTTGCTCCTAAACAGGGTGTAAGATAGTGATTGCTGAAGTAAAAGTAATTGAGACAAGTCATAACATAGCTTCTTTTTGAAGAGTGTGCATGGCAAGTATATGAGAAGGTGTCATATGTTCATGGCAAAGGAATTTGTGTTCAGATTTCCACACGCGTGTCCATTGGATTTTTTCATCACCGTTGATTTTTTCTTTTTTCTTTTTCTTTTTTTTTCCTCATTACTCTTGAATATTGTTGTTTGATTTGAAAACTGCTGGATATGCTTAGTGTCTTGAGTGTCGTCACAGGTGTTTGTATTATTGTTGAATATGGTATAACCAGGTGAGGCTTTGTGGTCACTTGGGACATGATTTGATTTTCTGAATTACATTTTGTTTAGCTCAGGCATAAATTCTTACCAATGTACAATTAATTTAACAAAGATAAGCGGTAGGATAGTTTGTAGCCTAGAAATAAGCAGCAAGAAAATGTATCTACAGGCGAATTATGCTTATTTTTTTATGAACTAACAACTACCAAAAGTAGTATAAATCTTTGTTGAATATTTCGTGATTGATTGGGATATTTCTCTTCAAAAGAAAGTTTTGTATTTATTATTTCAGTTTAACAAAAAAAAATATATATATATATAATTGCCATTTCAGATTCATGAGGTTACCATTATTTCTATGAGTTTTGTGTTATTTTCATTTCTTTACATTGGAATACTAAATTATAATTGTTGTAGTTGTTTATTGCATCTTATAGTGTCATGACAGAATTAACAATTATTGGTATAGTTTTAAAAATGAACATAATTTTTGGGTAGCCCTTAGTCTTAACAGAATCATTCCAGAAGTTAACATTAATTTTAAACATTTAATATTATTTGATATTATAGATCTTTATCCAAGAAAGTGATCCTAGCTAAGGATTATATCAGAAGGTCGAGATACATATGGAAGAATGAAAAATAACCAGTGACTTTTTTAAACTACTTAATTTGAAAGGTGTAATATCTATTTTTCTTCTTTATGCTTAGTAGAAATTTAAAGGAAAAAGAAAATCACAGAATCATGAGATGTTTGGATAGGAGCAATTTGTTAACACCATACATCAATTAAGGTTTGTTTTCTAGTATGGTTGAAACTTGAGCATCAGTTGCTTACATCACTTGTTTTTCTTTATTTGTAATGTAAGGTCAAGAGTTTAGCATTGTAGATCAAACTTTTATAAAGAGCCTTGAATATATAGGTGAATGACATTAGATATTTAAGAAGTTTTGCTGAAACATTGAGTAAAAGAACTATAGCAGTGCTAAGGAGTTTCATATACTGTTAAGAGGTAATGGTGAAATTTGGGGTAACATTGGCGAGGAAGCAGGAGGATTATCAGACCTATATTGAGCGATTGCACAGTGCAATGTTGGCCCCATACTGGAGCCGTTGCGCTGTTGCCATGGGAAATTTAGACTGGTAGGAGTATTCTGCAGTGGAAGTAAATTTCAACTAAAATATATGGTTCCTTGATGAAGCAAAAAGTATAGAAAGTAACCTTGCTGAGCCACAAGAATGCATGTCTGAGGAATCCTAACCATGGGAGTGAAACCAGTGTCTGGAGATCCTGTGAGTAAGTGGACATGTGGTCTTTGAGATATTGGCTCTTTGACTTAGATATATTGGACCATATTGACGTCAGAAGTTCAAATGAATGCTTTGGGAATGAAATGTGAAAGGAAAAGATATGATGTGAGAGTTGTATAAATGCTTGGAACTGACAGATATTTGATCCTTCAGACAACACTAGATTTGATATGGCTTTGTACTTTTAAAAAAACTGGAATGCACTTCAAATCTTTTGGAAACATTCTGACTTGATTCCTATGTAGGAATCACTGCAAAGAGAAAGAAAGAATGTATGATGCATATTTTTCTATACATTAACTAAAGCTAATGGATATGGAATTGCCTCAATATTTATGGATTTTTGGATAAAAAAGAAATGCCAGAGGAATTGCAAATACAAGACTGCCCCCCTCAAAAAAATGAATAACTTGTAAAATGTAATTAAAACTGAGTGCAAAGCAAAAACATTATCATGGTTTGAGGTTTGCATCTTCATTACTATTAATTTTCAGATTCTTTGAAACTGTATTTCATTATTTGGTAACTAATATTTCACCATTCTGTATGAAAAAAACATAGAGACCAATGCACAAAATGAAAAACATGAATACTGGCATTCTTTTACCCACTATATATGTTTACACAACAGTACCAATTCTGTTTCAAGTATCATAATGTTGTCAAGAAGTTAAGGTTTGTTTGTTAAGTGTTGTGAAGATGGTTAGTGGTTCTGGTAAGTTATATAGAACATTTTTTTTTCCTAATAATATTTTGAATTGTCTTATTTTTTATTTTCTATCTTGCTCTTTTCATAGAAAGAAATAACATCTGTTTATGGGATTTGGTTATGTGAACAACACTTTAGTAGCTGGAGAGATGATTTCTGCAATATACACCTCAGTTTTGTTTCATTATATTAAAGCTATATTTTTATAATTTCAAATTGTTATATGGATTAAAGGCATAGTAGATATGCTTAGTTATACATTCATTTAATTTAAGATCTTATCCCTGTGTCTTAACAATTCCTTTATAGTTATAGAGATCAATGCAGAACGGTGTAGAAAATAAAAGTAAAATAAAGTCAACACCTTCTACCACTATCTTTGGAATGGCATTTTACTTTGTCAGGGATATTATTGCTAATACCAGTGCATTTATGTCCACATTAAGAGTGACTTTTTATTTGAGTGGTTTTGTTATTTGAGTCTCTCTTTTTTGTAATTAATTGAAGACAGAGCCAAAGAAGGAATTTATTGTTTTGTTTTTTTACTAAGGGTCCATGAAAGAATGCATTCCTTTATGAACTGACACTTTTCTGTTTGATCTAGCATGTTGTCTTTTTTTGTACATTCTCTTCTGCTTTTATTTTAAAAGTTAATGTATTGTATAAGCTTGCAGTTGAAGCACAAATTTGGCTTATTTTTTGTTTGACTTTTTTTAGAGAAGAAAAGGTTTATATTTACTGACTTTAATCCAAAATGTTAAGTGACTTATAGTATAGATGATCTTGAGAACTTAAGCAGATTATTCTTTTGATCACGTGGTATGACTGTTTAGTTGCTTTTTGTTATTAAGAGTTGAGTAAAACAGACGTTAGAAATGTATAATTTCAATGATGTTTTGCCTTTTTTTTTTTGCACAAGCAGCTATACAGTATAGCTTTGTTGATTGATTTGTGTATGCATTTAAGACCATTGATTTGATATCAGAAATTATGTCTGGTATTAGATGTACCATAGGTTATTAAGCAACAAAGGATTTTACGAAGAATTTCACATAACACAAGTATTCAACTTTGGTATAAGTTGTAAGTAAAAAATTTAACACAATAAAGTTCAAACATTTGCATTTTGTACAAACACACACTCGAGATACTGTTTGACACATAAAGGCACCTCTGCTCATTGATGCCGTCTCTGAAATCTTACTTTGAAAAACCTGACAATCAGCATTTTTCTCCCTCTTCTTCTTCTTTTTTTTTTTTTGTATAAAATCTGATTCGTAGTTCTTTTCTTGCTAACGGCATGGAAGGATCCCAGTGTTAGTAAGCTAGGTGAAAAGAGCCATTTATTTTTGTTTGTTGGCATTTGAAAGCAATTTGGGTTATGTCACATTTTTGAAACCTGTGTGTATGCTAACTTCAATTTCCATTTCATCCTTTGTTGCTTAGATAATCATGTTTGGAGTAATTCACATTTGATATCTTTTTCTATATATCATGAAAATACTTTACTGTGATTTATTGTCAATTGAAAATGAGATTAGTAATAATGTAATTATTAATGGTCTTAATATTTGTCTAGTCTGAGTGTATATAATATGATAATAAAGAAATGAATGTAATTTTTGTTAGTTTCTTAACCATATATTTCTTGTATGTTGTCGTACAGATGGCAAATATACCACTGAAAAGCAAAGGAATATACTGAGTAAAAAAAATTATTATAGGCAAATTGAATGTAACAGAATTAAAGCAATAGATAAGACTAATTTTTAGGATTTTTTTTACATCATTGTAATGGCTTGTCAGCTGTGAGAATTGTATTCCAATTGGAATTTCTTTTTGTGTTTTTTTATAATAGGCAATTTAAAAATATCAAATTGTATAATTATAGAACATGGGTGAATTGATACTGAGCACACTAAAAACAATGGATTTCCATATCTTTGACAAGTAAATCCTGCATTTTAGGGGCAATAACACATCATAACAATATGCATTGTTGTAAATTCTGCAAATTTAGGAACATATTATATTTTTCCTTCAGAAAAGATACTACCTATGCCATTAAGACTTAATTTGTCATTAAGTGTGTACTGGTTCTGCCCTTGCCCAAGCAATGAAAGTAAAGGACAGAAATTGTTATTAGCATGAGCTGGCCCCACCAAATAGATTAGCAGTACCTGCCAAGTGTACAAATATCTAGAGTGCCACATATATCCAGAACAACTTCAACTAAAGAGCTAGCTCAATCATCTCTTTAGTAGACAGACTAAAAGGACAGTAGCTGTTGATGAAATATTTGAAAATCCGCTGTGCACAAAATAATTTTATTGCAAAATGAGAAGTTTTGACTGCAGTCTCATCACTCAGTAACCTATTATTTCGTCTGGATGGACACCTACTATCCAGGACATTTACACCTTCCTAGATACAGTAAACTCCTCAACATGAATTCTGGTGGATAATCCTAAATCTTAAAGGTACAAGCAAGTCAAGGTACGTTGATGTACATGTTTAGAGGCAAGATCTATATAATGACTTATAAATACTTATATCTTTAGTCCTTGTGTATGTATGGGTGTCTATGAAGAAGAAAGTAAATGCCTAGGCTCTTTATTTACAGGGAATGAAATAAGGGGCTATATAAGAATACAACAGGTCAAATGTTTATGCGACATTATGATATTAGAAACGATGTTTGAATGTCTAGTGTCTTGCTCCTCCCCAGTCCCATGCCTGTTGTTGCCATGGGGGAGCTGAATTGATGGAGGCTGGGTCCCCATGCTGGGGGTAAACCCTGCCTTGGACCTCAGCCCTCAACTCAAATAATTCTGCATGATCTTTTCTTTTTCCTTTTTCCCTTTCTCTCTCTTCTTAGTAACCTTCTACTTCCAATTTCTAAGGTGTGAGAGCAGTGTTGAAAGGATGAAAGGCTGACTTTGTAACAGTCATGAATGGCCTGTTTAGTTGTCTAGCCCTTACCCCTCAAGGGTACTTTGAGGCATAAGGGACTTACCATGGCCAGTAATAAAGATTTTGCATCCTTGTTAGGGACACTGAGGCTTGCTACTTTATCAACTAGCCCCGCAAATTAGAATTCTCCCAATTCCTTGATCTCAGGCTCTCCTTTGACCACGGTTCTGAACACTGCAACTACTACCTCCTCCTCAATACCGTATATCACTTCAGTCCAAATCATCCACCGAAGCCATTACTCGATCTTCAGAAAACATCTCTCCTCTCCCAGCATCCTCTACTTCATCTCCTCCACCATCACAACTTTCTTTGTGTACTATCCCCAACTTCCTTATTACTACTCTGCAGCCTTATTGTCCAGCTCTCTGCAGTACTACCTCTCTCACCACTACTTCCTCTTCCATATGTCCCTGTCCTTCTACCACCCCACACCTCTACAAAGCTTTTGAATACTCTGTTTAGCCCTGCCAAACGGAATCGATTTTTCGTCATCCTCTCTACAGCCCCTTACTCTGACACTCCAGCAATGCCTCTAAAAACAAATAGTTTCCTTCTGTAACTGCCCTGATTGTTCCCTCCTTGTCACAATTACATCCGAATCCCAAGCTGAAATATTATCAACCCTAACTAACTTCACTGACAAACCCATTCCTGCCCAACATAATCAACCCCCCCTAAATACTTGTACCGGAACTGTCTCCCATCTCCCCAACAAACTGCCGTGTGTATGGCAAGGATTGGCTAGATTGTGGAGAAGACCAACTCTCCTGTCTCCTGGACCGTGATACAATATCAGTACAATGCTACACCTTTCCACTAGAGGCCACCGTACGTCCTCCACCAATTTTGCCAAGACTACTTTCCGCAGACAACACCTCTCCCTTTGATGCTTATATTGGTGGAGAGTCTCTCTCTGTCCGACCACATCAACCTCCCAACTCTGGGCACCAACTCTGGGATACAAACTACGATAGACTACAGGACTTTGGATGAAAGAAGGAAGAGAGGTGACATGGTTATGCTGTTCAATTATGTTAAAGGAATAGTGATGTTATAAAAAAGATGGCTTTATAATTTTGAACACAGGAAGAACGAGAAGACACAGTGAAAAGTTGAAAGTAAGAAGAGGCGATAAGGATGCGAAAAAGTTCAGTTTTCCAAACAAAAAAATTGAAACATGAAGCACTTTGCCAAGTAACATGTGGCAAAAATATGCATCTGAACTTAGCTCTTCTCTCGTATTGAAACAACCAGGAAAGAACAATTAAGAAAGAACACACACACACACACACACACACACACACACACACACACACACACACACACACACACACACACACACACACACACACACACACACACACACACACACACACAGATCAGTCACTCCAGTATAAAGACCCAGTCAACTACATGATGTTAACATGGCGCCAAGTAGTTCGTCAAACACCGCATTGGTGATGAAAAAAAGGCGAAATCGTGAGTGAGAAATAACTGCGAGAGGAAAGTTGGTTGGTCATCATTTCTTATGCTATTTGTAAGTAATAAGCTTTCCAAGTGTTATAGCTGATGTGACGAATCATTATAACTCATACTGCGCAAGCACGAATGACAAAAGAACGACGAATAATACTTCCGTTACGCTCCGTTATATTTGATCATTCATGTCTTTTTATTTACTGTTAGATTAAAGTGATAGCGCACCGTATGTGTTTAGAAAAAAAGCTTTAAACGCGTCACATAATCAGTTACATCACTACAGTCTATTCTTTCAGGCCTGATAGCTGGGTGAACACGGTGATTGGTCAGAACCGGTCAGAGTCGTGCGTGGAGTAGAAGTCACTCCGGTTACCAGACGGAAATGAGTGAACGTCACGGAACATCGGCTAAATGCTTGCCGATAGAAGCTTTTGTTTTGTTTTAAGCTGTACTGTTTAAGCGTACCAGGTCTAGTAATATTTATTCAGGTCCACATCTGTATAATATCATCCCGGTCCCTCCTCTGCCCGCGCGCATGCTCTCTTTCCTCCCCATTCACGCTATCGCACCACAAATAACTATCCTTGTACATAAGAGGCTATGCATTCCGTAATTATTTTTATGTGTCATAAACGATTGCTGATATAAAATTTTAGGAACCCTGTTTGCTTGACATTGTATATTCCAAAATATAGTAACCAATGAAAAAAAAAAAAAAATCCGAAAAAGCATATAATCAGTTTGTGATAGATGTAAGTAAGAACAAGAAAGAACAAATACACATTTTGTACAAAATAAAGAAAGTTGTCAATTATAAAATATTTACAGAACGAGTCTGTACAACTGACACGATGCGGTTTCAGATCATAGTAATTTTGTTGATTGCGAATACCTGCATGTATCTCATCTCTATTTAATCCTCTATAATCAACTATGATATTTTCTTAAAACCTTTACACTTTTTGTAGGAATTTTTATTCACTTGGTTACGGAAATTATTCTATATCTAAACTGTATACCTTTAGGTTGAGGACTATACATAAACGGATATATATCAGTGAAAATAATTAGATTTACGACAATTCTCAATAAACAGCCTTGTTAAAACGTTTCTAGGCTAAAGCTATCAGAATTAAGTGAACAGACTATGTACCATCTTCCGTTCAGACTTGCACTCCTACAGAAAAAAGTGAATTTAGTTCGAATTAAAACTTCCATCGCCCTTTCAACATAATCCACAAACGGGTCCATCTTACGGTAAATTAGGAGAGGAAGGGAGGAAGCAATACAAAAATAACCCAGTTACGGTCACGTTTGTTTGTTCTGCGCAGCTTTCGGTCAAATGGGTTAAGCGTGTGATGGTATGATTTGGTTTTAACAAAGCCACCCCACTCTTCAACGCACACGACCTACCTCAACTATGGCTTTCTTATCACTGATAGGGATGAGAGATAGGACACTCATATAGCTACTTCACCGTAGACGGCCAATTGCACCATTCTAAAGCATAGTGGCTATTGGCAATCTGAGCGAATTTGAGCATCGGATTTTGAGACCATTTCAGCTCAATAAAGAAATTGTTAACTCGCTGGTATCCACAAATTATTAATCAAAATGAAGTACTTTGCCTCCGTAAAACAAAATTACCCAAATAACGGTTTATTTGATGAAATAGCATATCCATAAATTCCTTACATGAGATATCTTTGCAATGGGATTATAGCGACGTTAATACATACAGTATTATTACCCAATCATACACTCAACGTTCGTAATAGCTCCTGGATAGATTCAAAGAAAACGAAAGCGTTTCCTTTTGTCCAGAGAAAATGGCCACACCTGTAATGGGAATTTCTTGCTTACGACAGACAATTAGGGATCTATAAAGTAAAAAAAAACACACACAAAAAAAAACAGTAAGATATAAATTATTAACAGTAAAAGAATTCAGACTACAATTAGTAGCAATTACAACCGCATTACCTACAGGGGTGGGGATGAATTGCTCAGAATGAAAGAACATACATTTGCCAGTGTTTAGACTTTAAGAAAGTATGGATACACACACACACACACACACACACACACACACACACACACACACACACACACACACACACACACACACACGCACACACACACACACACACACATACACACACAC